AAATATAAATTAATCAATAATATTTAAACCAAACAGTCTTTTATATCATGACAATTTAAATGTTTTTTAGCACTTTGGACATGTTTTTTAACTTTTTTCAGAAGAATGTTTAGCTTGTGATATTAAAGCTGGAATTCTTTCAAAATCTGGATGTTCTCTAAACTCTAAAAAAAAAATCTGTTCAAGTTTCAGAAAGAATCACATTATATATACATGAAGTCTATTGCATCATAGGTTCCTATGATGAAAAGTGTTACCCATATGGCTGGGCATTCCCATTAGAAAATAAGGGGGGTTGTAACCTTAAGGTATCACCAGACCTATCATGGGAAAAACTGTACCTACTAGGTACAATTTTACAGCAACCTTCTCCATGAGCAGACAGGTGTTATCTCAGAGGAATGACACATAAAAATGCATAGCTCATGTTAAAGCAACATAACAGCTTCTTTGACCACATGTTATTTTAAAACTGCATATACTTGAAATAAATGAAAAATTGTGAAGATTTTCCATTAAAATGAGAAGGTAGAAAATGTATGACATGCCTGCATACCTCAATATCAACCTGAGGCATAGTTGAAAGTTAAGATTTTGTTAATTTTATGACTAGAAACTATAGATAATATTGAGCTGTGGCAAGGCTGGCAAACAGAAATGATCCAGCTTTCTGATAAAACATTATGGATGATACTTAACTGTAGCAAAGTGAACAAGTAAGAACTTATTAATCTCCAAATTAAAACAGATGCTCTGTGCAACAGATATATTTCTGAATGCACATGTATGTGCATCACACATGTCTTTTGAATCTGATGAAAAATTTGGTATGGCACTATCAGAGTCAAGGAAAGTGTGTATAGTATGAAACAGAAATTATGCAAAAATAAATATAACACTATCAAATGAAATACATGTAATATTGTACATTTATTAATGTTATTCTTTATAGCATTTTTGAAAATTAGAAAATTTTAAAAGTATTACTATTAAAACACTCAAACTATATTGTATGTTGATTTTAATCCTTTGAAAATTGTCTTCTTACTCTAAGTAGCTTACGTAACTCTCAGGAAATTGCTTTACAGAAATTAAATTAGTGAGTGAAATTATTTGAAATTTGACAAGAACTTTCCTAAATATACGAAGTTCCAAACATACCTCAGCTGCCACTTACAGCTATTACTCGACTGCCAGGGATTCTTCTTTTCCCATCTAAGTATTAGTCTGATTTTTTCTCACTTGATCCAGTCTTTTATACCCAACTCAGTTGCCCTTGGTGATAATTGTCTTGTTATACTCCCCACCTACGTCAATGTGCCCTGTATCCTGGTACTGTATATAAGCACCTCATTCAGATACTTTTATCACTTTTTCTCGACAAAGTGTCACAAACAAGTTTCCCAGTATTATTATTGTTCTGAGAACATTGAATGTTATCATGTTATCTAGTTGATTTCGTACTAATAATTAAAAAGAAAAAAAAAAGTTTTTCTTTCTCCCTATTGGCAAGCCAATTATGATATGAATTCCTGGATTATTATTTCTAGCATGGAGGCCAATTGGGTCTCTCCTCTCCAACCTCTGATGTCTAGCATTGCACAACAATCTGGGAGAGGGGGGTCACTCTTGGTTGAGAATATCAGTGATCTTATTGGTATTGAGATGGAGGCATATATTCGGATCTGTGGTGGTCTTCCAGAGGGCTCTGAGGCTGCATTTAAGGACAATCCTCAACATTTTGGAGAGAGTTTAGATTCACTTTCTCCCGTACCTTCTTTTAGTATATAGGATTTTGAGCCCCTGTGGGTCAGTGGTAAGTTTACAGACTCGCAGTACCAGGGCCCGGGGTTCAGTTCCCTAGGGTGGATGTGGCAGATGGCCCACAGTTGCTTTGCTCTACAAGACAACTTACTTTACCACAGTCTTCAAATGACCTATGAAAGACGAAAAGGAGGCCACTTTGGGATAAGCTGTCTTTGATTTTTTTATTTCTGTTGGTTCTTCGAATGTATGAGGTTTTGGCTTTTCCCTGTTGCTTTTGAGACTACAACTTAATTGATGGCTGAAAGGTCTGCACATTTTTTGTTTTTTCTCCATACACAAAAATTGTGGTTCATGCTGATAGGTTTACTTCTTGGTTACGTGAAGGGACAGTTAGGCCTTATCTGACATGTTGTCAGAACTTTGTGACTTCACCTACCACCACACATCGATTTTGTAGTTCAGAGTTTGTAGTTCACCAGTATAAGTGTATTTCCCCTGATGGGACAGAGTAACTCTACAGACTTACAATTCAACTTCAACATTTTGTTTCCTTCCACTTCACTTTGTTAGAAGACTCTCAGGATCACCAGTTTCATTGAGGATGAGCTGGATCCATTGTTAGCATGCATGTTGGTTCAAATTTCGGCTTCTAAATTCTTCCCAGCTGTTGTTGGATTATAGAATTTCATCAGCTCTTACATGGGGGTCATAGATCCACCCCTGTTTGTGTGTACTGATCCCCAACATCAGCTCCTTGGTACATTGGTACTCACCACCAGCATAGATGATTATTATATACCTTCAGGAGTCGTGTGGCTCAGTTCCATGACTTCCTGGACGTATAGTAATCTTAACCATCAGTCCAAAAGTTTTGCATGTCCTTGGGTCACAATTGGTTGTTCAGTTCATATCTTCCCCACTATTATCTACCCAACCTGTAGGATTTTAGTCTCCTGCAGTTCATCGGGATTTGGAACTTAGTTCTAGGGTTATCTTAGTCTGGTTGGTCTGGGAGTACTGAGAGAGTCGGGCTAGTTCCTCAGGGTTTTTATTGCTGTTAGTAGTTGGACCTATGAAGACAGGAGATTGGTGTCTAGTAATCTGTCTTCCTTGTCTATATCAATGACTAGGTTCTACAAGGTTCACAAGTTAATCATTCCTCAATCTGTGTTGATTTTTTTACTGGGATTGTAGACATCCAACTTGATTGGAAAGGGGGCAACTGAATAAAACCTGGTTATGCCGTGAAGCCCGCAAAGCATCTTTAGGCTATATCTTCATTTAAGGATAAAAACCATAGTTTTTGGCTTTTCTTTGCATATAGATGCTTGATACATTAAAAATGACTGAAATAATAATTTGAGTGATAATTAATATGTATTTGTTACTTTATAGATTTAATAGATATTTGATGTTACTTTTTTAATGTTTTTACGCTTATACTGTGAGGTAAAAATGGTTGCTGCTAAGTTTTGTCTGGATTATGAGTTTGTTGATGTCCTAATTTAGGATCTTCTTTTTAATAAATTCTTGAAAATGTTAAGAAAGAGAGAGAGAGATAGAAAGGGGGCCCGGGGAGGATGTTTGCCCTGGGGCCCATGCAAAAAAAAGAAACGTTTTGTTGAACACAATATTTCAACTACCCATGCTTCTCAATCTAGTGGTATTGAAAGGAGCATTTTTTTTTTACCAGAATCACTCATAAGTATACTGCGCTAACCTCGGCTGCACCGGACTATTCTTGATATTTCCTAAATCAGAAGCCTTACAAGCTGGACTGAAATCTACCGGTTTGATACTTGATTCCTCTGCCTTTGTTTTGTTACTGGAATCTTCCTCTGCACCTGACAGATCACCCTGAGCTTCTCTGCATTTCCTGTTTTCTTTTGCTGATGTTGTGTTGATGGAAATTTACTGGTAAATATTGTCTGATATCCATTCCCTATGGAGAAGGAAAATTATTTTTTAAGCACAAATAAAATGAAACACTCGCTTAACAAGACACTGAAATGAACAACATTAGACAGTCAAATTCAGTTTTTCACTAATTAAAACTAAACAATACCACATTCTAATTTACTAAGCATTAAACACCGTCATCTAATTCACCAATCAACTAATTTTACCAACACTTATTTTATGAACACTAATTTGCCAACACTGTGCGCTAATCCTGTTATTAACCAACCAATAAGAAGGCAAGCCAAAACATTAAAATAAACTCATTAACTCTAAATTTTACACTTAACATGAGCATACCAAATAATGCAATTATATCAAACAAATATCAAATTCAGAAAATGGTTAATCTAGAAACAAATCATGAGAAATATACATCAATCATTCATAAAATGAAAAATTAAACAGTACCTCTCACATCAGCACATCAAAACCACGATGAAGAAATGACATTTGCACAGATAAAAATTCAGCACTCCAATCCAGGTTGGTGTTAACAATACAATACCACTTTGACCAACAACCCATATGAATTGCACCAATTTTTAATCGTTCGCACTCGTGAGGTCACAAAATATAGCACACAGATGTACATAGTTTATTGGCAAACTTTTTGCTTGGCAAAAAGATCTCACAGACAGCTAAAAATCTTCTTTATGTAAGGTCAAATAACTTTTGCTATGCTTCCAGATTGTTCTACTAAATTATAGTTTTTTATTGTGCACCACAGAAACGTAACTTGATGACATAAAATTTTGGCTACACCAATGATGATTCACTTTTTTGCATGAGAAGAGTGAGGCTCGGCCATTACCATGCCTTGTACTGAAGACCATCAAGTTTGGTGCTTTTCTGCTAAGTTCGAAGACTTTGGGTAGTTTTTGGCATTACATTATGATATTGCTCAATGTTTTTTATTTTGATTTTTCAAGACACCAACTGGGGATTCGGGGACTGTCAAATAGAATTGAGGCATGGTCATCTTGTGCCAGTGCCTAGTGATGCCTCTTCTCTGACTATCCCCACAGTACCTTCCTATGGCCTTGTGCAAGAGATTTATGATTATTGCAAAGAGAGGAGTATTATGTGCCAAATACGTGAGTATTTCATGAATGTTGATAATCCACAAAAGTTCTGAAGAAATTATTACTTTATGCTTTATGTGACTTACAGGTAGCAAATAAATAAGTCTTTGAAAATAAGCAAGTTCTACAAGTGTGAGATTTTTTAGCTAATAAAATAAGATTAATGTTTTATCACATTACAACTCTTAAATGGCACCAGTTTAGAATTTTTAAAATTATAATTAATAGTTTCATTTGTCAATGGCAGAGAAATCTTTGCACAAATGACTTTTTTGAAAATGCAACAGATTTTAATATAACTTTCTTTCTGTTCAATGATTTCATGTATCCAAACTTCACATACCTTATCAGTTAACAAATTAACTTATTACTAAACTAAGTAATATATGAAATATATAATTCAATAATTCATGAAATAATATTTTTTGTCCTCATTTAATAACTATTCTAAGAACACATAAAACATTTAAAATGGCTATGTCAAATCATAAGTAGCTTGCCCTCATATCAATAGGTGTAAATGTTCTAACATAATTGTGCTGGAACATTACTGATCAGTAAAAATTCATTCACATTTTGTTGATGTTATAGTTAAAAACTTGACCAAAGATCACAGATAATATAACTGCTATGTTCGTATAAACCTGCTATTCAGGGTGTTCATTTGTAAAAAGAATGATTGGGGGTATGGATGGGTGAGAGAGTCTGCTATTACAGTACTACATTATCTCACAATCTTTTACTGTTCTCTTTTACTTTTAGCATGTTTACTTAATTTGTAATGATACTGCAGTTCTTTAACCATATGTTTTTGTTACTTTTTACATTTTGTGAGGTTCCAGGTCTGGGATCTAGCACCATTTTTCCCTGCAATTATCTATCTATGGGTTATATAAGCAGAATTTCTCCATATCAAAACAAACCTTCAAAGCTGTTTGCTTTCATTGTCCAACATTTGATTACACCCTACAAATAATGTAGTTCATGTGTGTAAATTTTAGAACGAATCCATCCATCAATCTCTTCTAATTTCACATTGGAAGATCTGATTGAAAACAACATACAGTATTTTGTAATTGGTATACCATAAAGATGGATCCAACAACTTATCACTCTTCTGCTCTTATAGTTTTACATAAAGTAAAAACAATTACAGATGAAAAACTGTGAAGAAAAAGAGGCAAACAAGTGTAATGCAGAGACTTTACTTACGAGATGGAGACACAAGGTTTATGCCCTCTTAGTTCAACAGAAAACCACTGATATCATCCACAAAGAAGAGTTGGCCAAAAATAACTTTCAGGTAAAAGATATTTACAATAAACATATTTTTGTGTTACTTGAGACACCAAGTATAGTTTGATGATTTAAATTGTATAGAAAATCACATTTAAAACTATGTGTCTTTATTCTTGGACAATTAATTGAAGGATTTCTTGAAATGAAAGTTGGAAAGTGTGAAAAATAAACTGTAAATATATAATTTATTTTTTTGCTACTAACTTATATTAATACATGTAAACTCATTTTTTCTTTTGAAATTTTTAGCCTTTGTTTGCATCTGTATAAGATCAATATTTTTTGTAAAAATTTTATGAGACCTAAATCATGCAGCTTTTCATAAATATTATTTCATTATTGGAATCTATTTAACCTAGTTCCAACTAATACTTAAAATATTGGTAGAATATTCCCGTGAAATTTCAACCAATTCATTATAATTATGTGATAATATAACAATATTACTTTTTTAAAGTTTAAACCATCAAAAACAACCAAATAGGCAAAAAAGTTGGTAATGAACTGTGTAATTTGGTATAAAAATGTTTTGGCCATATGTATGAATGAACTGTTGTACAACATAAAATAAATAACTATGCATTATAAAATGTGAGAGAGAGAGCCAAGTTTTTGAGAAACTAGAAAGTGTATATCAAGTAACTTCTTTAATTATGGTTTTAACCAGTCAATAACGTATGTTTAGTTAATGATAAATAGCAGGCTTTATCTGTTCTCATACAGGATTGAATGTGTTATATTAAAGATGAAATTTAAACATGCAAATGTGAGACACTTAACAACCACAGCTGATATAAATTTGTGGTAGAATGGCATGTATCAGAACTATATTTTTCCATTGCTTGGCATTTCATAGGTAGTGTAATGCCACTGCAAATTGCTTTTGGGAAGGGTATGTAACAGTATTTTCTGATTTAAAATATCCATACATTCAGATCATCAAGATGCTTTCAGTTCAGGGATTTAGAATTTCCAAGACAGAGATATCACTTATACTTAGTGACATTGGAAAACAAAGGAATATCGATCAGACTGGGGCAACAGGGCCGTTTAGTAAGATTACTGCAATAAGTCACACCTCATCTGTTGTAAGCAACATGTGGCTTTTTTTTTAACAGGGGAGAATTCTCAAACACAAAAACCATTGGCCCAGGCAACAGTATGCAACATAATTAAGAAGGATCTTTATCTGGAAACAAGGCCAATGGGACATGTGTGTTCACCAAGATAAGGCTTTCAGTTATACTTTCTGTTCAACTGTTGCATACCTCAAGCAACTAGAGAATGAAATGGGTATTCATGATATTCTATATGAAGACAGACATACTGATTAAATCAGTTATGGATTTCTGTGCAATCAGATTGTTCAAATGGTACTGGGAAACTCTCATCCTCCTACATTAGATAGATTGTGGAAAGGTGATGGGGAGGTGTGGTGAGCTTTGGACATAACAGCCTTATTATGAAGCATTTTATAATGGAACTACAGATCAAGGCTATTGTCAGTATTCATGGTCATCAGATAGAAGTTGACTAGATGTAGCAACAAAGACAGTAATTATGTGGTGAGGTCCCCCAAATCCTTTTAATATAAAATATTCAACCCTTTGTATTTGCCTAATGTCCCTGATTTATAATCGTTTGTGATAGTTTAATATCTCAGCATTAATATTGCAGAAGGGCAAAGCAAAGAACAAGACCAGGATTTTGGTAGTGGTAAATTACAGTGTATGTGAATGATGTTTGAATTATTCTTTACTCATCACAAATAATCTGTAGGCTCTCTCTGAAGTATACATAACATTATATTAATAATTTATTTTTCATACTATTCAACAGAAAATACACATTTGCAATAATAGATCCCCCTTTCCCTCTCTAAACTTATGAATTTTTATGGAAAAACCATTGAGATGCTTTGTGTTCTTGGAGAGTTCAGTCAACATAAGATAAAAATATTGTAATATTTGTATCTTTAAAAAGAATATGATGAAATATCAAATACTTTATACTTTAGCATTTTGTGTACAGTATTTTACTTGGCTGTGGGTATACTGTACTTACATCTGGATAAATTTACTATAAACAGATAAAATCTCTTCAAGATGAAAAAGAAACCTGTTTTCATGAGAGTAAGCTCTTATTGAGTTCTTTAGAGAACAGAACTGCTGAAGTCAACCTAGAGAAACTAAAAGTTCAAAATCTTGAAGACAAGCTGTATCATGTTCTGCAAAAAGAGAGGGAGCTCCAACAGTTGCAGACAAAGCATGAAGGTGCATTGTCTCGGATTGAATCATCATTTAGAAGGTCAGTTTCTAGCTTGTGAGCTTATGTGCTTAAAAGTTCATTATTAATAATTTAACATGATGTATTATTTTGTTAGCATGATAATATATTTACTCAAAGATTTGTGGCCTTTATTTACATCATTATGTAATATTCTATTCTTATAACAAGTTTTCATATGGATTATTTTGGGATTGACTTACGACTCATAGATTTATTGATTTATTGATGCATAAAAGCTTTATTTATTGAATATGTATGAATAATAAATCATTTGTAGTTAATTCAACAGAACAGTTTGTTAAAGTTACAATTCTTCCAAGTTTTAAAACAGGTAACTTGTCTCAAAATAATTACAATTCTGTTTATGCTTACCGTCACTCTTACTCAGTTACTAATGTCACAAAAAGCATTAACAAAATAACGTTAACAGCTGTGTGTTCTCACATGCAACAATATTTTAACTGCAGATGATACATTACCCTGCACAATAAATGAAAATGTGAAATGGCTCATTAAACATGTTCTGTAAATGAACTTTGATAAGTATAAAGGCAAAGACTCACCATTTAAGTAAACTTGTAGGGAAGACTAACTTAGATAAATTGAAGACAAAGAAACTAAAAGAAAGGCAAGATAACAAAAAATGACTTACCACCCATAGAAAAGCAAGATAACAAAAAATGACTTACCACCCATAGAAAAGCAAGAAATAAAGAATCATTAGACAGACAATGCTATGATAATACTATACAACATTGAAACTAAGTAGCAATCAACAATATTAGTTTTTTATAATTGAATTCTGATGTATAATGTAATTAAGTAATTAAATTTGAAAAGAAATTGAAACTTGCAAAGAACATTTGTTACAATATTAAATATTATTTAATGAATATTAATAATCAAATGCTTAAATGATAATATATTGATATCAAAAAACATTAAAACATGATAACAAACACTATGTAATTTCAAGCTATAATGGACAATAGCTTTGGTTTCCTTAGTTTTCTTTAAAAGTTGTACATGTTTTTCTTGCTCATTTTTGTTCATCAGTGGTTTTTTGTATTGTTCTGGGATGTACTTTGTCTACTTTAGAAGAACAAAAGTTCTTACCATAGCATCTTATTTTCATGTATCCAAAAATGAGCCACCATAACTGATCTTTTTTTCCTTTTCCTTATATTTAATGAAAAATCACAGTGTAAATATTATTGTTATTTTTACCAGAAGATAAAGAAAACTGAACTTTCTTAAATAAGAGAAATGACAAAGTTAAAAAAAAAGATATTAGAAGGACAACAACACTGTAGTATTACCAACTTTTTTATTATTTTTATATTACTAAAAAATGTTTTTAATTATTAAAGAAGTAGCATGCAATAAGCAAATTTTACTTTTTGGATGTCTTGATTAAAAAAATAAGTGATCAAGATCTCATCTATAGAAAAAGCACCTATACAAACAGGTACTTGTTCTATGCATTAATTCACTCCATAGCCATGAAACTTAGCATTGTTAGAAGTATAACAAACAGGGCACAAAAATGTAACAACAAAACAACATATGGTGATATAATTATGTAACATGGAATAAGTATTTTAACTCATTTAAGCCTACCCAACATCAGAGTATATTAACAAACAGAGGAATTCCATTTCATTATCACCATGTAAGTATATCATGGAATCCCAGTCAAGTCTAACCTACAGATTATACTGACCAACATAATAAATCTCTATGTTTACACATTAAAAGAATTAGTGTACTGTCATCCTTGTAGCTCCGGGGAAAACTATTAGTCAAACAGTATAGTTTGTAGATGATAGGATTTAAAGAAACAGTTACAATATTCCATTAGGAAACATGCTTGGAATTCTAAGCATGAGACTGTATGAGACAAAATCTGTTTTTCTTTATAAGACGAAGTATATATATTACAAAATAATGTACAGGTAATAATGATCAAGAAGTTGAGATGTGTTGGAGTTTGGTATAAACAGATACTGTGTGGACCTAAACTTACATTAGATAGGACACAAATGGTGTGACTTTGATAGCTTGCTTTCCACAAGTTATAGTTTAGGAATTTAATAAATTTTCAAAATCCTGAACACTTAAGCAAACTTAGCCTAAATTTCATTCTTCAAAAATAAAAGTATTAAACATATTATTATACATGTATCCATATTTTATAAAATAAACATTCTGAAAGGCAAATCAAAATAAAGATACAAGTTTCTTGGTTGCTCTGGATTTGTAGATGAGCATAATACTTTAATTTTCATGAGCCTTAAATTATATTTTTTTGACTTGGAATCTTGTATTTTAGATCAGTTTTGTGCCAAAGTGTTTGAAAATGTGTATTTTTCACTTTGGCTCCTTTCATACATTCAGCTAAATTGACATTCTGAATAATTTAAAATCTGAAAACTTTATGATAATAAAATTTGAATTTAATTTGGATACATTGCCTATTTTATATGCATATATTTACTCAGAGAATAGAAGAGTAATTATTTTTATTCAATGTTTACTTTTAGGCGCACTTTGGAAATCATACCACTTTGAAATGAAATAATTTTTTATTATGTGGTGTGGTTTATTTGACAATTAACATAATGGCAAAAACTTTATTTAATGAAGCTGTATGTAGATCAGATATATTTCATGCACAGTGGGTGTAGTTGCTGCTAAGATAAAGCAATTACATGTATTAGCACTGTTCTTTAGTGCTTACTTTAAAAAATGGTCTGATGTACATTTGATGTACTTTAATGATAATATAATTTTTCTTTCCTTTATTTTAGTATAATTTTATTAACTGAGATCTCAGGAATGACATTTAATATCTTTTTTATGTTCCCTTATATATAAATTTAATTTTTTCTCATTTTTGAAAATATTTTAAAGAAATAGTTACCATAATATTTTTATTTGAAAAATCTTATCATGAAAACGGTTTCTTGTGATTAGTTCATTTAGATAATATTTTAGAGTTAGATGTCTGAAGAAGAAAACTAAATTATGATATTGTAGTTTAAATTTCATAGAAATTTCAATTTAACGTATTTGTTTCCTTTTGTGATTGTGATATATATATATATATATATTGTTAATTTGAATGTTTTCTGAAGCTTATATTTCTCACAGTTTTTTTAGTGAAATGACTTGTCATGAGAAAAGTTTTGTTTCATCACTAAAGATGCTGAAAGAACTTGACACTCGTCTAACCTTTGCAGTTAGCCGTTTAGACCTTTTAAAAGAACTCTCTATTCAGCTTCAAATGGCAGATAAAAAAACTTGTCAACAATCCAACCTTAATGAAAACAAGTATGTATTAACTAAACCTGATCTCTGTTTCTGAGTTAATACTTTTTTATTTTTAAAACAGTATAACACAGGACTTGTGGTATCCCTATGATGAGACTCAGACTTTTCATAATCAAGCTCCTGCATATATGAAGTTTTTATTTCATACATAAACAGAAATTTTGATGACATCCATACTTTCTAAAGTATTATAATAAAAGTTGAATTAATTAAAAAAGTATTTTTTTAATTCTTGTTGCAAAAGGCTGGCAAACTTTGGGTTACCACCCTTTCAAAAAATAATTTGCTAACTATTAAGTAATGGAACATTTAAAAATTCTACTTCAGAATATTCCCCAAAAAACATTGATATACAAATAATCTACTAGAAAGAGAGTGCCACTTTGATTGCAACCTAACTTCTTAAATTTCAATTTGAATAAATAACAAGTGAACTAATAATAAAAAAAGTTTAAAAAAGAGGTAGTTGATTATAAGGAAAGAAATAAGGGGAATTGGAGTGAATAAGGGAAAATATGGTTTGGGTTAGATTTCAAAGATAACAATACATTTTGAGTATTACAAGATTCTTAAAAACTTTGAGATTGTGAACAATAAGAGTTTTGAAAAACAATATTAGTTTGCAACAAGAATATGTAAACTTTAAAAAGGGTTGCATCTAGAAAATTTACTGTTTATATTAAAGATCAGAACTTTAGATAATATATTAAAGTTGATCAAGGAAAACCTTTGGTTATGAAAGAGATAATCAAATATGTAAATTATTTAGAGGAGAAGAAAATGTATACAGTTTCATTTTTGAGTTTTCTTTGTATCCAAATCTAAGGAGAAAATATTTACTGTTACATATTACCAAAACAAAACAAATAAAGAACATCTTTGGTCATTTTATGATTCAAGTAAGTATTTATTAGTTACATTGAAAAAAAGGATGAGACTCTACTTTTTTAAAGTGTATAAGCTAAGAATAATAATATTTAGATTATTGTAATTCTGTGCACTATGTATCATAAAGATAAAATATGACATGCTCATTCATTCCACTGAAATTCACATTGACATGTGTTTGACTGTCTGAGCTCTGAAACTTTATTAATATGTTATTTTATGTTCTTTATTTTATAATGCTCTGTAAATCATTATATATCTAGAAATCTTACATTAAAATGTAACTTTTTTTAATAGCTGCTATTGATGACCAAAAAAATATGCTACAGTTAATTCTATGATCAAGCTGTAAAATATCATGTTTGTTGATTAAATTTCCTGAAAATTTTTAAAAAACATGCAACAAGAGGGGGGAGGGTTCAAACTCAAGTTTTACAAATTCTCTTTGAGAAACTACAACTTTTTTTACCATATTTTTGTTAGAAACAACATATATTTTAAATATAGCAATGAGGTACTTCCAGCTTAACTGCTTTTCTTATAAAATTTGGCAGAAGCTACAATTTAAGAAAGATTTGACAGAAAATGGTTTGTAGAGTTTAACTGAATTATGTAAAATGAAGAGACTGGAAAAACTATGAAAAACAGTCTTTATTTGATTCACTAAACACAACCAAAATGACAAATGTACAAACAGATGATGGAACCTTTACTGGGTCTTTTTTGAGATCTCTGTGAAGAAATGTTCCAAATTGAGGAAATACAGCATTATATACAGAGTTTTACAATGTTATTCTTCTGAGTGCACATTTGCTATGTGAGTTACTGTTATTCATTGTTTTCCATGAGAAAGTACACTTTTGGTGATAAATAATCCATTCTGATGCGAAAGTAATGTAAAATGATACTGAAAAGTTTGAATTGGGGAATTTATTTGACTTAATTCATTGTATAAGGGATTTTTTATGTATAGCAGGCCACACTTTGGTATATTATTAAGTGAAAAGTTATGCTGAACTTTAGTATTTGTAAGGTTTTAGGTGTCTTTCATATTAATGTTTGGTTGTTTTGTTGATAATTGATGAATCTTATACAGTTTTCCAAATCATGTGTGGGGGTTATTTGTTTACAGTTAAGTTGTACTTGTTTAGATCATATTTCTTTCTCATCATGAGAATTCAATTGTTGATATTGAGGTTTCTTTGTTTGAAGAGTTTGTTAAAGTGTTTTTTCTTCCTCATCATTCAATATTTTTATATTGAATTTGGGTTTCCTACTACTTGTTAAGTTGTACTTCTTCAGGTTTCTTGACTCTTTCTCATCCTAAGGGTTCTTTCACTCATGTTTTGAATTGTTTGCTTGCAATGAATTTTTAACTGTTAAAGTGTTTTTTTTTTCTTTTCAATAACATTTAGAATTCTCATAATGAAGTATAAGTTTTGTTTTAAAATAAGTGCATTTGTTAAATTTTGATGCTTCTTCGTCATTATTGCTATTTTTAATTAGGTCTGACAAAGAAATGTCAGATAATGATCCTTTACCTTTCAATATACTGGAGGAAGAGTTGCACCATTTAAGGCAAGAGCAAGAAGTTCTGCTGAAACGATTGAGGGCAGATCGTCAAAAATGGCAAGAAATGTATACAATGCAAGAGGAGAATAGTAAGTTTGTTATTCTTATCTATTACCGCTATACTATAAATGATAATGTGATTATGTTGTTTACCATCAAACAGGACTTTTAGGTTGTAGTGAAAAACTGCCATTTAATGGCATTAACATGAATCTACAGTGAAAAGAATTATCTTACATGTAAATATTGGTTCTTGTAGCATCTATTGTTCTTGATAATATTATGTTCTTATACAGAAGCAGTGGTCGAGTTCATGGGATGACTTTCATATAGCAGAACATGTACATAATTTCATTATTAGTGAGAAATAAATTTATAGAATGATCTTGATAGAATTAAATTAAATATTAAAAAGAAGATATTGAGTTGAAACACTTTTTATTGGAAGTGTTGTTACATAAAAGTCAAAGATTACAGTAGTTTATGATTTCATTAGGGAGAAGGTACTCTTCATTGTAGATTGAGCTTCACATCAAAAGCAAAGTTCATAAACAGGGGCTCATTTTAAAAACAAACAAACAATTTTCATATGGAGACCAATTGAATCATCGTGGTCCACATTGAACAAACAAAACATAATATAATGTTTGAGAGTATTCTAGCATTGCATGTAAATGAAAGCAGTCACAAGCATCAATGTGGTACGTAAACTCCCACATTTTATTAAAACTGAACAATTTAAAAAAAAAGGAACCATTGTCAGCCATGGACCAAACTAAACAAAAGCCTAAAGGATTAATTGTTTGCAATCTACAGTCCCCATAAGCACTGGCATACAAAAATATTCATTCCCCATTTTTACATTTTGGTATGGATGTGCACTGGCAGAACACTTATTTGTAGCCCTATTTACAGACATACTGGGAATACAATGTACAATGAGTTCATTTATTTATTTCACTCTGTTTATGTAAGTTTATTTATTTAAAATTTTTTTATTAGTTGATGGTGTGGTAGGCTCCAACTTGCTTAAAAATAGTAAATGTGTGAATAACTGTTATATGTATGTAATGTGGGTGGAGAGACTCAATTTTAATCACCAAAGAACACTGACTTTTATGGTTTTTTATCAAGAATTTTTTATCATGGAAAATTGGGATCTTCGCTCATTACTGATTTTTCAATTTTGCAGAACTTGAGAACCGGAATTAGCAATTGAATCAAACCTTCTCCAACTGTATCAAGTTTACACCTCCCACCACTAACTCATGGATTATCACAAAGACAATTATTATACCAACAGCAAAAGATAAAAAAAGTTATAACCCACAATTTGAGAACCACTGCTTTAATCTATCAGTTCAAAATTGGTGACAGTTAGTACAGATTGCCTGTATGCAGCTTTGTATGAATATCAGAAACAAGTAGTTAAAAACACATCAGAAACAGAAGCTCGTGTTACAAGATATTCTTGTTCAACAGGACATTGTTATGTCCATTCAGAAGCATAACTTTAGGAAATAAGAAGTTTGTTTAAGCAGGTGCAGAAGTTCAGGGTTAAGATACTCTTGCTTGTAGATTGCAGTTCAAGGATACTAGATAAAATATTCTAATTGACAGACTTTCTGATATATATCAGAGGTGAAAGTTAAAGGATCTTCCTAACAGTAAATTACCATATTCCTGAACATAAAATATTGTTAATGATTGGCTAAGGTTAAAGTTGCACAGTATTTTTGGCAGTATATTATTATATTAAAGGTAGTGGTTAAAGCTTCTTGATGGTATATGAAATAACATGTTGTATAATATGTTGAGACCATGGTTACAGATATATATATGGTCGGTCATGCTTTTATTTGGTGTTTTATAGAATATACTAGCCTTTTTATTTGCATATAATGGTGTTGTGACAGACTGTCAATGTATTAACTTTGGTAAGATTCCTTTGGACCTAATTCTGTTTCCTCCTTTTTACTTTTTGAACATGGTTCTCTGTTTTAATTTAAGAGTTTAATAAGTTGTTTCAATGAAGGAATAAGTCCTTAACCATTTGGTTGCTTTGCATTAAGACTTAATTTCTTTTTATCCTGGCTTAGTAAGATCAGCTTTACAGTGTAGTTTTTTTTAAAGCAATTAAAACCAATGTTTTAGCCCATAGGAGTGGGTTAGCTTCAGGCAAGATATCATAAACAACAGTTACAAACAATGTATGATTAACAACAATCATGATATTAAATTTAATCATCCACTGGGATCCTCGTTTCTTAATAATAGTAATGAGTTTGCTTTTTAATATGGCTGAAGGTGAAACCATTTTTTGCCTTATTTTTGCATCTAACTGTTTTCTGTTACATTTCACCTTGATTACTCAGGATATATTTTTGTTTGGTTTTACCAATTAACATTGTTTTACTTTTACTTTTTTTTTGTCTTTTATGCAGCTCTTTTTTATTTTTTTACATATTGAATAGACAGACTGAACAAATAGCTCTTCTGTTTGTGCTTTGTTGTGTTTAAAATTATTTTTGTACCCTAGTTTTAACATTAGTGTTTTGTTGATTTACAAAAATGCGTACTAACTTCACTGGTATTGTTGATTGTAATGACAGTTTAGGTTTTTTGCTTCTGATATAATTAGGTCTCCTTTTTTTTTTTCTTTGTAGTTTGTTTTGTGTACCATTTGGCTGAGATGACTTTTCAACCCTAAGCACCATTTTAGGATCTTTGCCTATGTGAAGTTAAGTTCATATCACAAAAACTTGATGATGGTTTTTGTAATAGATCCTTGAAAATTATACTAACTGCTAAAAAGGTCATTATTCCCCTGTGGCTCAGTGTAAAGCCACAGGGGTTATATCACTAGAAATTAGGGCTTATTCCCTGTAGCATATTCAGAGCAGATGACCCATTATGCAGCTTTGCTTTAAAACAAAAACCAACAGAAGATCTTGAAAGATCTTTAATTCAGACACCAAACTGTAAGAACTCTACTACAGTTAAACCTTAAGTTACCTAGTTTACTTAATTGATGTTTAAGTATTAGCAATATAAAAGTATTTTAATTAGCTACAAGTAATTTTGTATACATGAATTCTCTATACATGAATTCCTATATTTTTCTAGCCAAGGAGACAGTAAAAGCTTTAAGGGAAAGGCTTGAAGAAACTGAGGTTCAGTTGTTAGAAGAAAGAAAGAAAAAAGCCAGATTAATGGAAGAACAGAGTAAATATAAAACAGAAGCAGAAGAGGCAAAATGTACTATACAGCAACTGGCTAATGAATTGGAGTCAAAGAAGGAAAACAATGCAATAGGTTATTGATTTACTTTTTAAATGTATCACTGAAATTCTTATTAACCATTGAGACTTGGCTTTATTAAAAACTTTTTAGGTAACTATAGCTTTTTAAACTATACAAGAATAATCTTGTGACATGATTAGATAATTTTAAAAGAATTTCATAAAAATTAGAAGTAAAAAAAAACATAAATTTGTAACAGATTATTAAGTTCTTAATAATGAAATATATTCCAAAGTATACAGAAAATTATATTTGGAATAAACTCTTTTGATAATTTAAACTTTATTTTATTATTGTTGCCTCTATATTACTTCTAACAGTACTTTGTGTAGCCTGACAGCTGTTATATTTTTAACATGATTTTTATCGTAACTGCAAAGAATTATGTTTAGTTCGATCACCAGGCGTAATTGTTGCATCAGGTTATATTTAGCCATATGGATAAATATTTGATCAACCTTACTATTTCATTGTCTTCATCATGAAAGCTCATGCAATGTAATTAAAAGAATTTATAGGATTTTGAAATTTTATGCCAACTGTTATTATCATAGTAAAGTCATATGAACACAATTTCCTGATAAATACATATCAAAATGTCTATTAGCATAGGATTCAATAGATATGCTTTAACTCTCAGTACACTAGACTAAGATTCCACAGTTTGCTTCATTATAGCTAGATTGCTTTATATTTTTCATTATTTGTTAATATGTGTTTCAGTACAATTAAATATACAAGCACAGGTTTGTTAAGTTACTGGCTGGCTTTATTTAGAATTGGATATAATTATTACTTTTTTATTATCTAAATGAACACAAGTAAAGATTTTATCTGTATAATGTTATAATTTATGTTTTTTCATGTAACATAACTGTACATACTTTGTTATAAGTGATCTTATATACACTATACTAAGAATGTGATTAATCTGAATAGACACCGTGTTTCGATACCTGTGGTGGGCAGAGCACAGATATCCCATTGTGTAGCTTTGTGCTTAATTACAGAACAAACAAACAAACATTAATTTGAATTCATTACAAGCTGAGCCAAGTTTAAAGAATTTATTTTGAAACATACATGTGATATTCTGCCAGTGTATTAACACTAGGGATAGATGATTAACATTCAGTGTTCATTTTTCATCATATATAATCCACTAAGGAGAATGATCCTGAACCAAACACAAAGACAATGCTTCAGTATTTTATGATAAACACCACTGCAGTGAAATTGGAATTTGTTAAAAATATTTTAACATTAGTGAAAATTATAATCAAAAGCAGGATTTATATGCAAACAAAACTCTGGTTTTATTTGTTAAATATTTACCTAAAGTAATGTTCTTGAATATGATGTCCAATATGTGTCTATCTTTTAGGAGCTATCTAGCTGAGTGTAAACAAACGTTCTTAATAATGTACTCTAAATTGCCATATTGAGGCTTACTAAAGATCAATATTACAGTTAACCAAATGGGCACTGGCTCTGTCCATTGGACCAATCCCATATTGGAGAAGGAATTTTGCAATAATTCTAAATGTAATGTGTGTATCTAGATGAAATGTGGCAAATTTTTAATAAAATGTACAAGCCTGTTTTATACAAAAATGAGTTGCAAAAGTATTTGTTCTCAACATACATGTATATATCTGTAGATTAACAATGTCAATCTGACTTGAACCCTGAAAAGTCTGAGTACAAAGCAATGTTCATGTTAAAAATAAAAATACTTTTGTCTATCTTACAGTTTGCATATTGCATTTTCATATCCTCTAGAACCTCCAAAATGCACATCTACAGTTTTTTCATTATAACTGTATATTGTATCCAGCATTTACTTTTATTTACCTTGGACTGTCACTAAACCAGCAACACAGGGTAAAATGAATAGTTGACAACTCCCTATGAGGTTTTGACTCTGTTTTACTTCAATATATAATATATATATATACACAGAGTTCATAACTTTTGTATCAAATACATAATACCATGTTGAATGACATTCTGTAAAAGATTGTGACTTTGTACTTTGAACCTCACCTATGTGCATACATTTAATATAATTTGATAGTTATCTCTGCATGAGAATCTTTAGTTGTTCCTTCAGCTAATGGTAACCTTTGAAGTTTATTAGCCTGGACGAGAGTAGTTGAACAACAGGTCTTGTGATTGATCAACCTGAATTAAATCTAGAGCCACAAATTAAATGCCAATGTAGGGTTTTTGATTTTTTGTTTGTCAAAGAAGCTACATTATGAATTTTATTTTGCAATAAGAAATAATTTATACTATATTTATATTTATATTATTTTTAATGCTTGTTACTATAGCTTTCAACAATCAGCAAATAAAGCATCAGAACCAGATCATAGAATTAGAAACAAAGCTTGAAGAGGCTCGAAGAGAGCAAGTTAAAGCTATAATTGCCCAGCAACATGCTGAACGAGAAACAAATATTATAAAACATGAATTAGAAGAAAAGTTGACAGGATTTAAGGAAAGTAGTCAATCAGAGATGATTCAATTAAAAAACAGACTCCAATCACTAGAACGAGAGAAGAATGTTTTAACAGTAAGTTCTTGTGTATCTATCAAGTAAACAAATTTTCTTAGTAAGTGTAACAAAAGGTATATGTTTAGCTGTCAGTTAAACAGTTTTCATAATAAGTTTAACAAAAGGTATTTGTTTAGCCCTCACTTATCATACAAACAGGTTTTCATAGAAGGTATTGGCTTAGTTGTCAATAAATAGGTTTTTGTAGTAAATTTTACAAAATTTATTAGTTCAGCTGTCTAGTTAATGTGTTCTTATGGTAGTAGTAGTAAATATTGATTCACGCATCAGTTTCATATATATATTTATTACGAGTAGTAAGTATTGTTTCAGCTGTTAGGTAAAAAGGTTCTTGTAGCAGTAGTAACCGTTGTTTCAAAAGGTTCTTGTAGCAGTAGTAAGTATTGTTTCAGCTGTCAGGTTAACAGGTTCTTATAGTATTATTTTAGTTTTCAAATAAGTAAATGCTTATTGGTGTTTTAACAAAATATATTGGTTCAGCTATCAGGTTAAAAGATTTTCGTATTAGGTTCAAGAAAAGTATTATTTCAGCTTTCAGTTAAAATGATTTTATGTTGGGTCTATCAAAAAGTATTGGTATAGTGAAACACATAAGTTGTTTTGTTGTTGTTGAAATTAAACTTTGCACATGGTATTGATAATATGATTTGTATATATCCACATGTTTGAAAGAAAGCTCTGTGTGAACAGAAGACACAGTGGGTTTGAAAATACATTGACTGGACATGTAACTTTTTGAATGGAAGAAGCTGGCATTCCTTATTGAAGTGAGAGTAATGGCATGATGGATTTAAGATATTCAAAATAAGGAATATTTTAATAGAAACTGACAAAGGGGAAATAGGTACCTGATGTACCAACAACAAGGACAAGTATATTTCTTCATAAATGTGATGAAAACGTGCAAACTTTGTGTGTCAGTAGCAGGTACAAATATGTGAAAACAACTATGTATTGACCTGATGTACTCCACTGCTGTAAGGAATAAAAACTTTGAAATACATAAATTCAAATGGCTTGGTATCACCTGGTTGTTAAGGGATTCGTCTCACAGTATCAAACTTTGTCACAGAACATGCTATCCCTTTCAGCCATTGGGGCATTATAATGTGAAGGTCAATCTCATTATTCATTGGTAAAGAGTAGCCGAAGAGTTGAGATGAGTGGTGTTGACCCTCTGCCTACTCTTTGGTCTATCACTTCAAAATTATGGATAGCAGCACAGAAAACTCTTGAGTAGCTTTGTGCAAAATTCAACAAAAGAAACAAATGCAAACCAAACTTGTTTCCTGGTGCATTAATATCAGGAACAAGTGGAGTTGTACATCATTGCAAGTACACCTTTTAAGTCTTATGTAACCTAAACTGATAGCAAGAATAAGTAAACTTTTATGCAATTATAAAGACAGCTAGTAAACTTCATGTACTCTCACTGATAGTAGAAAAATCATTAAGTTGTGCATAAATAAAGGAATGTACTTCTGAACTAACATCAAGAACAAGAAAGTTTGTACATAATGCAAGGACATTGTTCGTGTGACATTTACTCCTTAACATTAGAAACAAGTAAAACATGGATAAACTGTCAATAAGAAATTAACATATATATATAATCTTCAAATCTATTATATCCCAACAAACATCAGAAACAAAAGAAGTTGTACATAAATCCATAGACAACATGTTAATATGATGTACCACTGTTGATGATATGGTCAAGGAAACTTGTATGTAAATGCATAACTGAATATAAAAATCTTGTTTTTAAAAGTAGAAAATTGTATTTCTTGAAATCCTGAACACCACTATTGGTGAGATGATTTTTTATTTATTTTTTGTTAAATAACCTATCATTATATTTTGACTTAAACTCTTCATGAATCAATCTGCTTTTCTTTTTATTAGCTGACAGGTAAACAGATAGTTAAGCTGGGTTTTGGGTTACTTTGAAGATCACACTAGGTTTTCAATATTAAACCTAAAACACATATGGAACTGGTTATTCTTGACTCTTAATGAAAGGTAATACAGGATGAACCTAATCCATGGAAATAAAGTTGTTTTAAGTCATTACATTTATACTGCTAAAGAAATAGGTATCGTTTATTCAGGTTTTGTCTGCTTTTGTACCAATATTTAATGAAATTATTTTATTTGAAAACTTATATATCTGACATATTTATTTTAGTCATCTAAGCTAATTAGTTTGACCATTTGTCTGATTAAAATGTGGTATTGTTACAGAGATGCTGAACTTTCTTATTTTGGCTGAACCATTTTAATTTCTAACCCCTGATTATGCAACTACAGTCATATCCATTACATTCCTTTTTATTTTTTTATTGTTTTGGACTTGGTGTAACATGATCTGGTGATATGAAAAAATACACTATCAAATTTTAGTCACCTAAACATTTGTATTTCTGCAGGTGTACTCAATTCAGACTCAACCACTTTCATAACACTGAATAAAATATCAGCCAATCAGAAATTATTGATAGCTACCCCATTCAGAAGTTGGGACAGTCATATAGTTTCATTGCAAAGATGTTGAAATTAAAGTTATATAGCCAAGAATGTGTATCCAAAAAAAAAAAAAAGACACTGGGGGGAAGAGTTTCATACTGGGTCACCACTCGTACAACAAAGGAAGTTGAGAAAAAAAAGCAGGAAATTTACTACTTAAATGATACCCATAAAGTAAAGTGAAAGTGAAAAAGAAGAAAAAATCAACCAAAAAAAATACAATATCCTACTCTTTAAAGAAAATATTTTACTAAAATAAATCAGTTATGATAAGAATTTGGAGAAATTTCTATTTGTATATCAAATGTGTATAAAAAAATAAAATGTTATGCAATATTTCACAGTATTTAGAACTGACATTTTAATTCTTGTATACCACAATTATTGTTTCTGAATAAATGTTACAAGTATTATTTTATTTTTCATATACTTTTTTTAGGCAGTTATTCATCATTACGGATTGACTGACCAGTTCAAAAGTGCGAGAAAGTCACCTTTGCCTCTAAAAACAACTAGTTTAGATATGAGTCAGCCATCAAAAAATCTATCATCTGGTATAGTTGGAAAGAAAAAACCCGAAGAAAACATCCAGACATTTCACCATCCTGATCTTCAATTGATAAAAGATACAACAAAAAAACCTGTTGACAAAGAGGGCGTTGGTAAATAAGCAGTTTTTAACTTGTTTATTAATAATCTGTGTTTGTATAAACTTTATCATATTCAAATACATTTTCATTTTTTTTATGGAAGGAAATAATGCTTTAATATAATCATTGTGTATATAATTTCTTAGTGTATAATTTATTAAAGGAATTAAAATTAGTGAAGTTTGTATTTCATACTCTGTTTTGTTTACATCAACATTTGCTGTGAATGATGAAAAGCAAAACTAAACAAGCTTTGTTGGAAATGTATGTAAATAAACATGATATTGGAACACTAATTAAATACATGTACAAGCTAGTTTTAAACATTTGTATATGGTATTAAGATAGTTCTAGAGGTTTGGTTAGCTATGTTTTAAAATCTAATGATTTTTACTGTTGAACAGTCTCTAAACTTCTTTCTTATTGGATTTACCATCAAAAATTAAGAAAAGAATATATAAATCAGTAAGTTATTGTCTATATACTGTGATTTACAAGGTTAATCGAAACATTCATGTGGCTTATACTAGTTCTGAGGTACAGTTGATGCAGAAAAATAAGTGAGTTTGGACACATGAAACTAGATAAGCTCAAAATTTCAGATGGATTTTGTTTGTGTTACTCATTGTGTTTATGTATGTCCGTCTGAAAAATGATACTTATGATTGAGGTAGAGGATTCTATTATACATTCATGTGATATTTCAGTGTAAGTGTTTGTACATAAGTTGATTCTTTCTTTGTTCTTATTGTTTGTTTACATGATTCTAGATGAAATCAAGGATATGCTGAAAGAGTTATCTTCAACAATCAAGAACATTTCTGAAGATGGCATTGATGTTTCAACTCAACAATGAAATGCTTGAATATCAGCCAAAACCTCTGTCTTTGTTTTATTTTTTCTGCTTAGTTTAGAATGGTGTTTTGTTATGTTTAAATATATGATTGACTCTTTGAAGTTTAACTCATCCAGGGTGAAAATTGAACAAAACATTTTTCACGAAAAATATTGTCAAAAATGCTAAATGTTAAGCAAAAAATATATTGAACTGTAGATTTTCTAGAATCTTCAGAAAATACTGATAATTCGTTTTTTTTTTGTCTGGCAGTTTGCAATTAAAAAAAAAATTACTTTTGTAAAATTCTCCTGTTACACCTATAGTGCACTCAACCAAAACACTTATGTTAAGAAAGGACAAACTGTCAACAAACAATTAAATAAAACTGCTTAATTTTAGCTTGTGCAGCTTGAGAAGTGAAAAGATATAATGTTCTTGGATGCTAGTAAAGAGATATGGAAATATTACACACTAATTTGTTGTTGTTTTTTTGTTTTGTTTTTTGCTAAATGATAAAGGATAGATTGACTCCCAGATGTGAGTTTACCAACTTTTGATTTATCATTTTCATTTAAACACCTAATATACATGAAATTAGCATAATACAGCTTTTTCAAATTTTAAAAATCCAGGAACATAAATGGTTTTTAAATCATATTTTTGGAGGTTACACAGCTATTTTTATATGCAATCAAATAATAAATGCAGTCTTGCAGGTGGAACTACAGGATTTTATGCAAATGGTATTAAAGTATTGTGATATTCTAATGATTAACCTAGCACACAGTTATTTGATCTTCATAATACTTGAGATTAGTGAACCTATATGCATATGAACAAGTTTAGTAACTTGTAGGTGAAATGATAGATACAAGGCATGGTGTGATGTTGGAATGATAGAAGGAAAGTCAGATACTAGCTGATTGAAAAAGTGGTTGGGTATTTTTGTATAAATAGTTCATTTATATTAATAGATGGAGGAAAAACTGTATTTAAGTGAAAATAAAATGTACTGTATTCAGATAAATGAGGATGATAAATACATAATCAGGAAATCAAACACTTGAGAAACAATGGACATGATACTTTACAGTAAGTCCTGTCTTTTTCTAGATAGAAATGAATGTTTGAAGATGTCAAAACTTCACTTACAAATCTGTTATATACGTTTCTGACTAATCACAAACATTTGAATGTATATTTTTCGTCAATGACTGTCATACAACAATCACCAAATAAAGTAAAACGGTAGATTGTTTCTATGATTAGACTCTGCTACAGTAAGTAACATTTTGATTAAATTGTCAAATGCCATTCACCAGATTTTAGTATAGTCTAAATTAAGACTTTCAAAAAATTGTAAAATTTTGTAAATATGAAATTATACTATAGGAAAGTGAGGTACGTTATACTTGCATACTAATAGATGTTACTAAAAGTGCTGTTCCTGGTGGAACTCTTGTACCACTGTAATTTGTAAATATATATATAACATGAACAAAATGTTACAATTATTCCGATACAGTACCTTACCCTCTCTCACATAATAGCTATTCTTGTTCAATGCTGCCCTCTATGTGTAAACTTTTTTCGAATGCCACAAGCCTTGAAACTCCCACCAACCCCACCACTGCATCTTTGCTTGTAAATTATCATGAGACAACCATCCACCAATAGGAGTGCGATACACCCTCCTGAAGCACATGACTCCTTCTATTCAATTCTACTTAACCATCACTTCTTGTTAGGCAGTAGTATTTTGTAGATGTTTCATTTATTGCTTTTTTTTTTCTCTCTCTCTCTCACTTTTTGATATGTCATATCATATCGACATATTTGAGCTTCTGGTTCTATGATGTGCTTTGGATCATTTTCTTCCTATTGTACAGAACAGACTTGCCATAATCCGTTTAGACAATTTCACCATTGACTCTTATTTCAACTGCCAAGAAGACACCCATTCTCATTTCCTTTGTGATCAAATGTTGGATCTATGTTATTGGGCCCATACACTGCATGTATGTTTCAAAGCATGTCATGTTCTGGGTGCTTTTAACCTCGTGGTAGATCATCTTTCTCGACTCGATCATATTTATCCACAGAGTAATCCATCAACCCACAGGTTTTCCAGTGGCATTGCATTCAGTGGGATACTCTTCATCTGGATGCTGTTTCCACTCCTCTCAACACCAAGTTACCTCTTCCTCATCCACAGGCCCTGGCAATGGATGCTCTCAGTCAGGACTAGATCAACAAGTACATATATGCCTATCCTACCCTCATTAAGCTGTGGGGTTTCCCTTTTTCGACCCACTATTCCTCTCCTTATAGATTTTCTTATCTGGCTGTTTGACCATGGGGCTTCTGTATCTTCCACTGCAGGTTATCAAGCAGCCTTGTACACCACCTTCCACTTTTTCCAGGCATGTATTGTGTTTTCCTCTCCTACTGTCTCACTTTTATTGCATTCCTTCCAGATTCGTTGACCTCCTCATCAGGTGGATCTTCCAGATTTGAATCTTAATATTGTTCTTCATTGTCTCACACTTCCTCTGTTTGAACCTTTGTCCTCCTGTTTCCTGTATCACCTAACATTTAAAACGTATTTCCTACTCCTTATAGATTGGGCATTGTCAGTCTGATATATTTGATATTGACGTTTCACATACTCTGTTCCATTCCACTGTTTCGTCAGCGAGTCACATGACTACTGTGACGCCACGTTTCTAGAACTATCCTGTACTTTGGCGAATGCTCTAGTATTTACTAGATATAGGGTGGTCGGGTATGTGGGGGAGGGTGACGGGGTAACGTAATGTGTGTGTGAAGATAGTGAGTAATTG